AGACAAATGCATGTAATCAATACACAAATCACACTTGCACCCCCTAGGGTAATCCCACATGTCGCCTTCCAAAATGGGCCATGTTTGCACGTCGAGTATCTTTGGCAAAACAAAATCAAATGATCATAAGTCCCTCAAAGTGTTGCCTAAACGGAATGATCATAGTCCCTTCAAAATAAATTGCCAAAGACACTTGGCACCATTGCATTCATGGTCCATACGATGACCCGCGCCCGTCCCGAATAAACTTCCTAAATGCAAGATTGCCTACCAATTTCAATGGTAGAACAAAATTGTTAAAAGGGGTTAAAACATGACAAAAACCTTTGAGTACAATAGGGTAGACAAAACTCTTAGTTACTTGAGATCAATTTGCAAAAACACTTGCCTAATTTCAAAACCCACTCCACAAACACTTTCAAAAATCAACTTTTCAAACCCTTGAAACATCTTTTTAAAAGATAAAACACCTTTTGTAAAACATTCGAGTAAAGAATTGTTACAAGGTTAGCCTAGCACAAGGCATCTTTTCAAAACATTTTCAAAACAACACACAAAGCACCATTTCAAACAATTGAAAACCAAGGCAAGATTGATCTAAGCAAGTACCTAAGAGCCCATGGATAACCATGGATGAAAAGGGTGCTAACACCTTCCCTTTTCATAATCTACCCCCCGAACCCACAAAATATCTCAAAAGGTTTTTGCTGTGCTTTTTTAACCTTTCCTTTAGGATAAAATAAAAAGTCGGTGGCGACTCTTGCTCAACCGCACAAGTGCGAATACGAACGCGAAACACTAGTCAGTTCTCCCACCGTATCACAGTATTCTTAATATTTGAAATATGTAAGTTTTTGTTCACAGCAAAATGGAAATGCGTCCCTATGCATAATGAACACAAGTTTGTACATTGCCATACATTGGATGTTAAAATAGGTGGGTTACACTTGAAGCCAGTAGAACACACTAAGCTATCAAGTACATTGTCATTTACTTATACTCAACATCTCAGGTTTAACATGTTTTGTTTTTACATTACCCCAGTCTTGAATCTCAATGTGATTATAAGGGTTTTATCTCACCTCCATTAAAATTTTCAAATGAATTCATGGTTTGTAGTTATTGCTCTTGACGATTCGTATTTATTATTCATAAAAAACCAATGCAGTGCACTTCGTAACTGAATACTTTTGTGTTAGGCGTAACAATGGATTCATGGAAAATTGTTTGTAAACACAAATATAAACCAAATGTTAGCTGATTAGTTTCCTGTAATTGAATTTCATTTTGAAAGTTGTAGCATACTCTTAAGAAGTTTACCGAATTGTATAGTTTACGTTTATGCATAATGGAGATGTTTACTAATAAAATCAACCATGTAGGTGGACGAATATGGACCACACTCCACACATAACTTCTAAAAGAGTGCGAGCACGTAGAATGCTCCTTCATAAAGAAAAATGCATTAAACACCTTAAGACGACGGCTCGTCCAATTAATGCATTTACGGTCATCGTGTTGGTGTCTGTTGCACCCCAAAATTTTCCCTCTTCTTTTTACCCTATATGACTTATGTTTCATCATACACATTCATGCATTTTGATAGGATCAAAGTACTTTGGTTCTCATGTTCTTCTACAAGCTATGGGAGATGGGTTGTATTGACAATCAGTGCAAAAAGGGTCTCATGCCCTTACTCTTTGGTTCACTCAAGCTAAAAGGGTTTCTCATACCTTAAGATATCTCAATTGTCTCATTGATTCATCAAAATATTGAAAATTTCAAGTGTTTTGAAATGAATCACATTTCTCCTATTCATCTCTTAAAATTAGGGTTTTGGTCAGATGAAGTGTATGGTGCTTGTATGAGTAAAATTTGTTGAAGTAATACCCTCTCATCATCATATGAGACATCTTTGTTCAAGATATCCTTCATCATACTCAAAGGAATTAGGGTTTTGATATTGGATCAACACATCTTAACACAAGCAGTCAAAAGTAGGGTTTGTGTTTAGACCATGCTATCTCTAACTTTTTGATCTACACTTGATTACACGCTTCTCAACATGTTTCTAAGCATATCTGTTTGAAAGATTGAGCATTAATTTTGATTGGAAGAGATTTAATTGATCAATTGGGAGTAAAACAATCAATTGGGGAAAAAGTCAACAAAGTCAAAGGTTGACCAAGTGAACTTTTGATCAACCAAGAGGCCAATATTCATATTTTGATGTCACTTGGTCATTGGTGGAATAAAATCACAAGATTGGTTGATTTTGGATTTAACTTGTAGAAGAAGTTATCTTATTAATTTAGAAAATTTCCTGTTATAAGTGATTTAAGTGATATGTGGTGCTATCTTTGAACAGGCACAACTCTCTCATTTCTGATTCAATCTTGGAAAATTTCATATCCATGGAAATAGGAAAGAAAGATCTGCAATTTTGTACTTGAGAGTTCATGTCCAAAAAGTGAAAGGAGAAAGAGATATTTGGCTTAGAAGTTAAGCACAAGGGTTTGATACTTATAAAAATTACAAGACATGGGCAATGTGAGATTTTCATGTCTATTTTTGGGGATTCAAAAGAGATTAAATCAAAAAATGATCAACACCAAAAAGAGATATGAAACCTTTCTCTTAAACTTTGCTTCAGCGTTCTCCTCATTTGATCCATTAATGAGGAAGACATCATGATAAGGTTTTGGTGATTGGAGATAGCAAGGGACATTAGCACGCGCGTGTATGATGCCTAGCCAGGCCACATGCTTAATTTTCGGGCTCAATTTCAAGGTCTTTACAAGTATTGTTTCAAAAATGTCTCAACATCAATCTTGTTCCATATAACCTCAACTTTCTAAAGAGACCAATTTCATGCCAAAAGATCAAAAGTTGAGAGAGATATATGGTTTTGGCTGGGACGGGCAAGATGGCTCATGTCTGCAGCCAGAATTTGATTATTTTGAAATTTTGTACCCAAAACTCAAAAGTTACTGCATGACTTTTGGACACATCATGCTCACACACCTTTCATCCTAATCCTTTACCTCATATATCCAGGAAACATACCTTTCACACATGCACGAAATTCTCATGCTTTGCCAAAAGAAGCAAAACTGAGTTTGTACAAATCCTCTCTCTCTCTCTCACGTGCAAAGCCAACTCACGACCTCACACTTATCCCATACTCTCTATTTCTCACTTAAAATGCAGCATGGCATCAGTAGTTTGGCCACGAAACACAAAGCACCATTTGTTTCACTCAATTTGACATATTTTTCATTTATGCCCTCTAATGGCTTTAGGATCACAATGACCTTTATGCCCTCTCATTTTAACTCTTTATAAGCCCTTCACACTCTCATTTGAAGGGGACGAGCTCTACATTCACCAAAAATATCAAATTTCGTAATTCTCTTTTTTTTCTTCAAGTTTTCTTCGAATCTGAGTTTTGGTACGAGCCAACTTGCTTCTTTCAATATTTTCCCTTCATTTGGAGCTTAAAAGATCAAGTTCAACTAGGTTTCTTAGATTTGGAAGCTTAAGAAGAGAAGTGGATTTATTTTCCACAAGGTGAGTTTCTCAAACTTCAGATCACTCTCATGCTAGGTTGTGAATGTTTATAGACTTGTTCATGAGCATATAGTTGGAAAACATTAGGTTTGATGTGGTTTGTTTATGCATGTTGAGCTTGCTCCGTATTTTACAACTTTAGAGTTTCACGATTTTAGCTTGAACCAGTGTTTTCTAGTCCATTTATCTCTGTGTTTCGTGACTCGATTGTTGAATCTTGTATGCTATGGTGTTCTATGATGTTTGAACTCGAATTTTGCTTTTGATTTCGTCTGATTTCATGGAGAAACGAGCAAGCTATGATGCTCTGAATATGGCTTGGTGAAACTGTGTTAGGTTAAACTCAGGGGTAGGGACGATGATGTGCCCATTTTTGGTTGGATATGGATTTAACCTTTTTGCAACGCTTTCTGTATATGATAGGTGTAATAGATCTATTGTTATTTTCATTTTCATTTTTGTTTCAATTGTTTTATCTGTTTTATTTTAATATTTTCACTTATCCAAAAATTATCAAAAAAATATTTTAAACTTATTTTTAAGTCTATTTTCTGAAAATAATTTTTATTTGGTCCTTTTTATTTTTATGGTTAAGTAATTAATTAGTGTTCTTAAATAGGTGTTTTATTCACTAGTTTAATATTTTAATTTTATTTCTCATTTCCCATTAACCTAAAAAATTGACAAAAGCATGTTCTAAGTTCCTTATTATGTTAAGTTGATCTTAGGGTTTTTTTAACCATTTTTTTACCATTTAATCTCCTTTGATTTTAAATTTTGAGAAGTATAAATGCTATTTTGTTAGTTTCACTTACTTTTGCTAGAAGTTTGATTTAATTTTCTTATTCCCTTAGTTTCTAAAAATAAAAACCTAAACATTTAGGGTTCTTGAAGGCGTTAGCGTCATGAAAATTATTTTGTTTAATTTTCCCCTTTGATTTTCTATTTTTCACAAATTATTTGGTTTTAGGTCTCTAGTTTGGGGTTTCCTCAACTAGTTTGGACATTTGAATTTTATTTTCACCTTTCTTTCCAAATTCAAGAAACCTAAGTATTTGTTTCCGACTTCTATAAGCCTTGAGGACATAAGAAATTTTTTTTTTTGGTTTTTAGATGGCTTGTTCATATTTTTGTTTGAATTAAATTGTGAATAGGTGTTTTTTGTGCTCTGTAACTTGAGATACAAGGTATGCACTTGTGTAACCTATAAGGAACCAAGTTCCTTCACTTATTCTCATCACATGTTAGAGGCTTGAGTTCAGTGGCGGAGCCAAAAATATTATAAAGCCTGGGCGAAAAATTAAAGATCGCAAATTCACATTGTATATAATATATAAATACTCATCAATCAAAATAACAGAGACTCGCCATTTTGTCCACAAAAATATAGTTTAAAATAAAAGAGACAAATATAACCTTACAATAGCGGGTTAAATAAAATTACGAGGCAAATGTCCTTTCCGAGACTTTTTTGCGGTGAATGTTCGAATAATATCAATATCATTAAGTGATTTGAATATCTCCCGCTCAGTGTAACATACCATCAAGTCATTGAACCACACATCATTGATCTTATTGCGCAATTTAGACTTGATAATCTTCATTGCTGAAAAAGCTCTTTCAACGGATGCTGTCGACACCGACAATATCAAAGCTAACTCAATAAGTTTATAAACCAATGGAAATACTAAATGTTTCTCAGTTTGAACCATCTTCATAGCCAAACTTTGAACATCTTCACAAGTGGAAAATGAAGCATTTCTTCTCACTTGAAGAACATAAGTCTCAAGTTGATCCCTTATTGTTCCTCGGTCATCATCAGGAAAGTCTACACGATAAATATCCGCAAGACGAGCAAGCTTATCAACATTAAACTTGGAGAAAGAGTTTTTGGGATCAAGACATGAAAAACAATTAAGGAATGTTACTTTCTTCACTAAAGCGATGATCCATCTCCACACATATTTTGTCAATAGCAACATAAAAAATCTCTGCACGGTAATGATGAAGATTATTGACAGTCCTCCCTTCTACCCTTGAACGACCCCGAACCGGTATTTCATCATCCATATTTGGAACTGGAATACCTTTAGCAACACAAAAATCTTGGACATCAGAAAATAAATTATCCCAAGCACTCTCTCTCGTTGTGGCCAATCGAGCTTTGACATCATCAACTAATTCCATGGCAATCACAATATTAAGATCTTTTCTTTGCAAGACATTTGAAAGCTCGTTTGTGATACCAAACAAATTTAACATTAATTTCAAAATGAAAGCAAATTTAAAGCTCTCCATTTTTTCTATCAAACCCGCTGCTTGAGATGGTCCACGTCCATCTTCATCAACCATACTAAGCACCTTTAACACAGAGGGCCACATTTGATCCAAATGAAGCAATGTAGTATGATGTGAACCCCATCTAGTATCCCCAGGTCTTGTGAGATTATATGATTGGTGCAAGCCCTTTCCTCTAGATATCTCACCACTCTCAAGTTTATTTAAAATATCTTGGTGTTGTGCCTCTATCAAAGCATCCCTCCAGTTGCATGGGTTTTGGTATTTTTAATATTGGATGATAAACCAGAAGATGATGTATCGACCGATTCAATTATTTAAAGGTGAACATTCTATTACTTGCAAAAATGTCGAATCAATTTGATTAGAAAAAATTGATTATGTACAAGTGCGATGAACTAAATGATTTAATCTAAAAAGTTGACCGAATTAATATAAGTTATATTACTAAATTAATCATTCCTATAAAAAAATAATATTAAGAAAATTAATTAACCTAATAAAAACTACCTAACCTAATAAAAAAATAGAATAAATGGAATAGGAGTGTAGAATTGGAGATGGGGGTGTGAATCAGCAAAAAGATAGAAATTATGGCCCAAGAGCCCAAGTTTAGTTAAACCTAAGTCTAATCAATAATTGTTATTATTTAAAAGAAGAAGAAAAAAAAATGGGACAATGAATATAGACAATGGGTGGTGACTCTCTACTGTTGTCGACCGAAAATTTAAGAGGAAAGGAAATCAATTGACTTTTCAACAAACAGGGAGCTATCATAGAATGACACGTGGCAGAGTAAGAAAATATAATAAAATAAAAACCTTTGTATATTACTAGGAGAGAGACATAACAGTCTAGATCCAATCTCCTCATCTCATCTTTTCTTCCTTCTTGTTTTTTTACTGCACCCTAAATTGCTTAGCATAACCTGTACAATCAACACAAAGGGAAAACAAATACAAAAAATTAGTCAGCAAAAAAAAAACGGATCTCTCAATGAGGAATTCGATGGCGGAGCAACTGCCAGTATCGCGGTCAGTTTCGGTTTTACGAGGCGTGTGGCGGACGACGGTGGGATACGACATCAGAGGTCTCAGTCCGGTGGAGGATGTCGCGGGTGGGTAATGGCGGCGGATTTCGCGGAGAGGCGTTTAGTTCTGTGGGTTACAGATTTGCTCGTAGGAGGGAGATTGTCGTGAAGAGTTGTATTTATGGCGATGTCGAATGTAGCAGATCCGCAACACGAGCCTGGGCATTTGCCCAAGCTGGCCGTATGCTGTATCTGCCTGTGCTTGAGTTCATATTTATGAACCATCAAGTACTCTATCATTTCCCCCTTTGTTTAAAGTTATTTGTTCATCTTTTGTGATCATGGTTTAGGAGGATGCTTTTGTGCACTTCTACTTGAGTACCATTGATCCAAATTGATTGAAATATTTTGAGATCGATTCTTACCTCTAAGGTCTTAAATTCTTTTATGCACATCTCCTTTTATTCTTTAATTGACATCTCATTGTCAATTCATCATGATGACAAGATATGAGCCACATTCTTGTTTTGACCTAGTTTGTGTGTGATGGTTTTTGAATCCTCTAAAGAACCATGGTCCAACATCTTTGTGCTTAATTTTTTATCTTAACCTCTCTTCCCGTCACCATGCTTCTATGATCCTTTTGGTTAAGCATTCATTTTTTAATCAACATGGTGACACATTAGAAGCTACATTATTTTTCTTACTTGTGTTTTGAGCATCATTGTTTAGTGATTGCTTCATGAGCTTTTGTGACGTGTCTATTTAATGTATATTGATGTTGGATACTTCCCATAACCTCTAATAAAATTAACTTTTATCTATTTATATCATAATTCTTGTGTGCATTAAGGGACTATACTTTTGTTAGTTTGTCATGACACTTGAGTATGTTATTTTGTTGACATTTCTTGAAGATTTAAGTTTATGATTGACACTTTATGAGGTATTAGTAATTACCCTATGACATATAAGGTGTTATTTTTCCTTTACTTGGTCTTCATCAATATTTTTTGATTTAAGATAAGTACCATCTATCTTGAATGATGTTGTTCATTAAGTTATATAACTTTGTTTGTGCATGAAGTTTCATATTTTTCACTGGTTACTCTTGAATCTCATATTGAGTTAACTTATTATACAAGTCATAAATTACATAATTCTTCAATTATGATTTCATTGTTTGATCTTTACTTGTTTAATTTGAACATACTTGCTTGTCTCCTTTGGTCACTTCCCCGGTGTGCTATGTATGCAACTTTCTCTCTTTGCTTGTGATGTTAAAATGTATGATACTAGAGGTCATTTTCTACTAATATATTTGCTTTGGCACCCTATAATTATGTTACCTCTTCTTCTATCCCTTTCTCGTGCTTCACTTTCCTTTAGGAGTATGTTAGGGTGTGGTACTGACCAAATATTACACTAACCTTTGTATGTGCTTTAGTAGTGATACCTTAGGAATGTTTCTAGGTAAATGGTGTGTGTTAACCTCTAGCATTTGATTATAAGTTTACCCATACTTGACACATTATTCCATGTTCAATTAATCACACACTTGTTTCCACTTCACATCACAACTTTGATTGATGCTAGTTTGTGTACCTTGGTGTTTGAACCACATTTTCAATGACTAATTTAACTTCTTGACCATGAGGTTTTTACTAAGTGTATAACATATCTATCTTTACCTCTTCTTCTTCACATTACCTTTTCTTTTCAAATTTGTTTGCTTTCTAGCATTACATGAGGGCTTATGTCCACTTAGGGTGTCTGTGATCATTTCTTTGTATGATTTTGATGTGAATCTTTCTTAAATATGTTTATGTGATAATAATGAGTCCCTTATGTTTTCACTTATGACTTGTACACTCACTCATATAATTCACTTCACTTCCTTATAGCATGATATGTTAGGCACTTGACTCCTAAGTCCTCACTTGCTAGTGTGTTTTCCTCTTTGTTTACTCTTTTGTTTTTTACACTCATACCCTTAAAGAATGACACTTAGGAATGTATCTACATATCTATCATGTCTTCTTAATGCTATATTTTATGCCTCTTCATGATTAGCCACTTACTTGTTGCTCAAGTCTCATCTTGTTACTTGGTTGAGTTTTATCTTTTGTCATCATGCGAAGTTGTCTTGATTAGGTGATGTTTGTTAACATGTAATCCCTTAAAAATGGTTCATAAATGTCTTAAATAATGTTATACTTTGGTATTGACCTATTGTATCTTATTTTATTGTTGCTTTTGATATGTATTGATGTTTTGTATTCTAATTGCACACTTGCATTCCTACTTGTCTAGTTAGACAATTTCTTCCTCTTCTTGACCCATGTTGCTATGTTTAGGATAGTCTAAGGGGTTTAACATGATAGGACCAGAATTTATGTCATACCTTGATTTTATTTTATTCCATTCTCTTTTGATTTCTTATCATTACTCTCTCACTTTCTTTCTTCACTTTTTCAAGTTTGCTTATGAGAGCTTCATCTCTTTTGTGTTTTAACACATTGACTTGTGTGTTTAATGATGTTTTATCATCCTTATCTTTTCTTTGAGACTTGATGTTTTGTCATCTTAATATATGTGTGCTTGGTGTTTTATCATCTACCCCTCTCATCTTTTATACTTGATGTATTATCATCTTTGTGTGATGTTTTATCATCTCATCTCTTTGGTTTAGGTATTTACCTATGTACTTGCTTTATTAATGTTTTATCATATTCTATTTTAGTGTGTTACCATCACTATTCTTATTTTGATACTTGATGTATTATCATATTTGTGTGATGTTTTATCATATCTTCTCCTATCTTTACTTGCTTATCTAAGTAGGTATTTGCTTGGGACCTTGTTTAAGTACCTTATCTGATGTTTGCTTTCTTCCATTATCTTATTTAAGTGTGATTGTTTTCTCCTACTTTTGTATGCTCCCATGGGATCTTTAGTTCATTCTTCTCTAAGTTTGAACTAAATAGACCTTAGATTAAGAATCCACGCATGATAATATTAGGTAGATCTCCCTCTTATCCCAACTTTAGGTCCACAAGCATGACAACTTATAGGATTGAAATCCATTTTTGATTAGTCTTTCCCTTTTGAATTCATATTAAAACTAAAACTTCTTCAAATATTCAATACACTTAATAAATAATTGATGAGAGCCGTATCTCCAAGAGTCTTTAGTAATGGGAAGGATGAGAGGGTACAAATTCTGACTTGTTCTTCTTTAATTCATAAGTCTCAGGTGTGATTCAAATCCCAAACTTTGTTTTCACAAAGTAAAGGGATGATAAGTTTTCTAGCAGTGGGACCCATTTATCATCTTACCTACACTACGCCATATAAAGAAATAGACAGCTCTTTTGCCATAGAAAATGCTTTAAAGTGCTGCCTATTCATGCGCTGCTGTAAGTATAAACAATGCTCTTTGTCAGTGTAAAAGTGTTGCTTAATGTAGCCTTTAGGCAGTGTTTTATTCAATAAGCACTCTCTAAATGTCCCTATAGGCAGCGCTTTTTACATCAAAAGCGCTTTCTGAAGCACCCCTTTAGACAATGCTTTCAATTTAGACAACTCTTTTAAAAGTGCTGTGTAATGTATATTTTTGTTCACTTTTTTTCTTCTGTTTTAAGCAACATTTTCTTTGAAAGCACTCTCTAAAGTTCCTTTTAGGCATCACTTTTTTTTTTTTTTTACTTTAGAAGCACTTTTTAATGCACCTCTTTAGGCAGCACTTTCTTTAAAAGCGCTTTCTATTCCCCACTATAGGCAGCACTTTTTTGTTTAAAGTGTTGTTTAATGTTCACATATTTTTTAATATATATAGTTTATATTTTAAGCGCTCTCTACAAATAATCACTTAAAATAAGCGTTGTCTTTCAAATTTGCACTAGATTTCATAAATTTGCAGCTTCGATCCAATAAATATGCACCAAATTTACATATTTATATATGCAACTTTAATCCAATAATTTATATATACATAAATTTGATACAACTTGAAGAATCCAATAATTTATATATACATAAATTTACATATTTA